TGGCATATTTTGAGTTTTTTAAGGAGTGATGTGGAGATGTTGCACCAAGCTGGAGAAGCATAAGTTAGGATGGGACGGATCATCGAGATGAAGAGTAAACGTTTAAGTCTGAGTTCCATTTTGGGGTTCTGAAGAAGGATTTGTAATCTGTGACAGGCTGCTTGTGCTTTGTTGATAACTGTTTTGACGTGATCTTTCCAATTAAATTTGCTGTTTATGACCAGACCAAGATATTTTGCTGTTTTGACTATGGGTATCGTTTCGTTAAAGAGTACAACTTGATTTTTAGGGAGGATCGTTTTTCTTTTATGTTGAATGATTAGTAGTTTCGATTTTTGGCCGTTTACTTTAAACTTCCAGTCTAGGCACCANAAAATACTAAAATTATTAATATTTTTATAAAATAAAACTCTATAAAAATAACTATATATTACAATAGTTTGCGATATGATTGATAAGAACAACTTAATTATTATAAATAATTTATCCACAATTTAAAATAATTTACTCTTAGTAAAAATATAATAAAGAAGCATAATTAAATTTTTAAAAATAAGAACAAATATTACTCACTTTAGAATTCTTTGCAACTTCAAAATCTCTTGGCATGGCGGCAAGCCATTTCTTACGTATTGGGAAATCCAAAATTTAATGCTTTTGTACCATCAACTTTGTAAAATCCTCTGCAGTTTGGTACACAGCACTCATTGGCAATTATCCATAACACTAAGAATTAAATTAATGCTGACATTTACAACATTTGTTGAATAAATATAAATTTTACGAAGAACGTTGACACCAGAACACACACGGTTGTTTACAAATTCAAATCAAAAATATTCGCCAATTGGCTGAATGCCGACACAGGTTATAATACTTGAGAATATCGCCAATGGCTCGTTTGATCAGATTCGGAGTTTTTCGTAAAAATAGCTACCCTGACTGGTTTCCCTCTGGGCCTAACTCTACTACGTCATCATCGCCTATAGTAACCCGTCGTGAGGCTTGATTCCTTTCTAGGAGGTATTGGTCCTCCCCTCTGCAGAGGATCAAAATTGTGATGGCTTGTCTTCGGATCATCCTCAGGGATGTTTCCCAGACCGTCGCCAATAGCCCATTGTGCAGCTCTAGTGCGACGTAAATTAACTACAACAACAACACATACACTTTTATATAAATAAAAAAGTGTGCAGGAAATTGCTTCCGGTTGCTCGTATCTGTTTAATTTGTAACACTTTATATAATAGGTAGGGGCCTCCTTGGCCGAGCAGTATCGCCTGCCAAACGCTGTGCAAAGCTTGGAGGTAGCGGGCTCAAATTCCGTTATTATCCTGGATGTATCTTCGTGCCGTCCTTCTCTGTATTGTGCGATCTGTCCTTCTTTTTGACAAAGGCTTATAAGCCTAAATTGAGCTTACAAGCCTACAAATGTATGTAATTCTAATAAACAATAAATATGGTAGGTAGGTATTTTATTTACGTCGCACAACACAATGGGCTATTGGCGACGACGTGTGGAAACATCCCTGAGGATGATCCGAAGACATGTCATCGCAATTTTGATCCCCTGCAGAGGGGATGGCATCCCTGCTTTGGTAGCCTGACGACCAGTGTGCGAAGTCGAGCACTTTACGGTAGAACAGTTTAACGAAGACCGATACGGCGCACCCTAGGCCTCTACGCAGGCTGATCTAAGTGGTTACCCACCCGTTTACTGACAGCAGCCAGTGATGGTTGACTTCGGTGTTCTACTGGGAATTTTTGTCTTTACGATCAGTCCATCAACACATTTTAAGGGGTTGGATTCCGATTGTAACTGTGGATGCGTATTTCATTTTTTCAATCTGATGTCTACCTTTAGTGCCTTGTCCTTTAATGGACAAAGAGCTTTGATTTGAATTGTGCACTCAGGCTTGTACTTAGGTGCAATAGAAAAATTAAAAAAGACAAAAAAAAAAACTCACAATTTAAATATTTTTAATATATTTTATATTTTTGTATGATAAACTACTTATTGCAAAATTTTTATTCCATAGTTAATTTTCTTATCAGTTTTCTGTAATTCTATTTCAGCATCAGCAAGGGACGGAAAATAGCTGCTCAGCTGATTTTCTCAAAATCTATCGCGTAGACTAACGCTGTTTTTAATTTTTGCCCGGCAGTGGTTCATTGATACAGCATACGTTTGCAGTCTTGTGTGATCAGGCTTATAAACCTTTATCAAGTAGACGGACAGTGTGCACAATACGGAGTAGGACAGCAAAAAGATACATCCAAGGTAAGAGCGGAATTCGAACCCACTATCTCCACAGCGAGCGATACCGCTAAGCTAAGCAGGTACCCACGGGGCAGTGTATTTATATATTTATTGTTACACATACATATGCATATATAAGCGACACATACATATCCTTTGTCAATTTGAAGAGCAGATATAGTACAAGTAAGAAAAATACATTACAAAGATACTATATCTAGGTTTATGATGGAATTCGAACCCGCTACGTCCGCACTGCAGAGCCCTTGCCGAAATGGCGAGACCACATAGCCAGGGTGGCCCCCTCACAAGACTGTAAATTTATGAATAATGTGTTGATTTATTTCGGTATAATATTTAGAATGCAGCAAAAAAATTTGACCTTTGTTTAACTATTTTGTAAAAAATCTTGCTTCTGTTGATTTCAATCAGTAAGTTAAATATGTTTAATAATTTGTTGAAGAAATCTTGTTATAGATAATTAAATTTTATTGTTTCAATTCTAAAATATTTAAAGTTAAATTTCAAACTAAATGTAACCCTACTAAATTATATATTTATTACAATCAATATTATATATCAATATTACAATGCAATCAATATTATAATGCAAATCAATATTATATATTTATTCGCACCAGTGGCAACCTTGTAAAAAAATTTTTTAACCTTTAAATATTCTACTTCTAAGGAAAGTCTCGCACTAGAGCTGCACGATGGGCTGTTGGCGACGATCTGGGAAACACCCCTAAGGATGATCGGAGGACATGCCATCGCAATTTTGATCCTCTGCAGAGGGGATGACACCCGTGCTTCGGTAGCTCGACGATCTGCACGAGAAGTCGAGCACTTTACGGTAGTACAGTTTAACGATGACCCAAACCGCCCACCCTCGGTCCCTACGCAGAGTGATCCAAGTGGTCACCTACCCGCACACTGACCGTAGCCAGTGATGTTTGACTTCGGTGATCTGCTGGGAACAGTGATTAAATACTCAAAGAAGTCTGAAAAATGGAATGAAATGTAATGTTCATTTTCTTAAATAGCTATGATCATTTTTGTATACACTCATTTTGAGCTCTGTCCATCATCAAAAACACACGTTTTGAGCTGTGTTCAGTTTTAAAAACTCATCGGTATTTACTTCACAATTTCGCCCAGTGGGAACTTGACAGTTTGCTACTTTCAAATTGGGCTCTGTGCGTGTTATACACTTGTAAGCACAGTAAGGTTTTTCGATAATTTCGGAAGACGAAGCTGTGACCTTCTTTTTCTCATTCCACGGCACGGAGCTTTTTGAGCTCGCTGTTCTGACGATGCCGCTCGAAAAAAGACTGAAAAGTTTAATTGGTTTTCATCTTAAAAGAAAACTGGAGATATTCCTTTCTTCTCTTTTTGTTATAAATAAACGAGTTTGAACGTTTAGGAAACAAATATTTCATTTTAATACAAAATATTTTACAACGCTGCTATGACAATATTTTTTGTCATTTTTTCATCAAAATAAAAATTTATATGAAGTATACATTTAGAAATCGAGACCTAGATTGTTGTATTTCAAGTAGAACGATTAAATTACATTCAGTAGGAATCCTCCCTAAGTTTGTAATAATTGTGAATTGTATTTGATTATTCTTTAAAATTTTGACCGTTTCACTGTATTTTAATTTTTAGCTAGAAATATTTAAAATATTGATAAAATTACTATTATCAACGTTTCTATAACGTCGTATGAAGGTCGGAAGGTAGGTAATTCTTGACATCCCTGTAGGATGACACTACGTTGAAGATATCACTATTTGGGAGGCCACTTCCTCAATTTAGACATAGATCAGAACGGAAAGAAAATTTTCTCCAGACACAAATTATCAGTTTGCAATACTTGTCTCGACTGTACTACACGGATTAGATCACTGTGCCCGTGGTACTTCTCAGTTACCTACCAGGGAAATTTTCAAATACACAGATTTTATATACACGTATATCGTTTGTATTCTCAACAGAGTCGAGGATTGAATCCCAGTCCCTCCGGCTCGGAGTCTGACTCACTAACCACTGAGCTACCATAGCCTTTAGCTTTGTTGTATCAAGGGATAAATACAATCCTTGCAAGACAATTGGGACAAGGGGGCCTCCCTGGCCGAGCGGTATTGCCAGCCAAACCGCTGTGCAAAGTGTGGAGGTAGCGGGTTCGAATCCCGCCGTAACCCTGGATGCATTCTTCGTGATGTCCTTCTCTGAATTGTTCTATCGTCCCGCAATGGACTGATCGTTAAGACACGGTTCTCAGCAGATCACCGAAGTCAAGCATCATTGGTTGCGGTCAGTGTGCGGGTGGGGGACCACTTGGATCAATCTGCGTAGGGACCGAGGATGTGCGGTATGGGTCCTCGTTAAACTGTTCGACAGTAAAGTGCTCGACTTTGCGCGTAGGTCGTCGAGCTACCGAAGCGGGAGTGCCACCCCCTTTTCAGAGGATCAAAATTGTGATGGCATGTCCTCGGATCATCCTCAGAGATGCTTCCCAGACCGTCGTCAATAGCCCATTGCGCAGCTCTAGTGCGACGCAAATGAACTACAACAACAATTGTTCTACCTGTCTTTCTACTTGACAAAGGCTTATAAGCCTAAATTGAGCACACAAGCCTGCCAATGTATGTAATTTCAATAAAGCAGTTGGGACAAGTATTGCAAACTTATATTTTTCTTGGTTTTATTTGTTGCCGTTTAGAATTTGATTACCATGTGTTCCAAGTATACAGTATTAAATGTCACGAGTAAATACTGCTCGAATGATTGCTTTGGATTTGAACTAAAAGTAGATAAGTTTTCGAGTGTTAAAAATGTGACTTCTTCACAATTAGTCACATCGCAAGCCTGTAAAACAGCATGGCGAGTTATTGTAGAAACCGCACCTCGAATACGTCGTAGTAACACGGATTACAGAACAGTTCTATCAGAAGGAAAAATGAGAGTTGGTTTGAAAAGGACCGATTCAAACAAGTGTGAAGTCAAGGCTTCTTTCTTTTTTGAAGTTCTTAATTCGAGTGAACTTATTTATTACAAGGAGTCGTTTGAAAGAGTTTTCTCCCAAACACACCCGGAATTCTATTGTGATTATGTCAAAAGACCCGGAAGAATCGCTCGACTTGCTGGTGTAAGAGAAGTTTGGTTTTCATTGCCTGATGACAAACTCACAATCAGAGGTAATGTCATAATTGAAGATTGTTGTCCGAAAACAAAAACTGAAAAGGACTTAAACGCCACTATGAATGTAACTGAACTGCTATATGACTTTAGGGAGTTGTATAAGAACAATTTATTTTCGGATGTCGTATTCGTTTTTGGAAGCGAGAAAATCTACTCCCATAAGAATGTCCTCTCCACCAGGTCACCAGTGTTTAAAAAGATGTTCGAGCACGATATGTTAGAAAGCAAATTGAATACCGTCAAGATTACCGATATCGAGAAACGCATATTTGATTATTTTTTACTGTATCTCTATACAGGAATCATGGAGAACAATGAACTGGATACTGTCTTGTCTCTCTATTCAACTGCGGACAAATATCAAGTTACCACGCTTTTCCAAACTTGCAGCAACACTCTCCAATCATATATTTCGGATAAAACAGTTTCATCCATATTGCTGTATGCCGATTTGCATAGTGATGAGCTATTGAAAGAAAAAGCTGTTCAATTTATATGTGAAAAATTTGAATTGGTGGAAGGATCACCCGGATGGTACAGTTTAATCGATAAGAATCCGAGTTTAGGTTCGTACGTTTTGACAGCAGTTTCATTAAGTATCATTTCCGAAAGAAAAAAAGTATTTTAGTGTTTTCCGTAAGATGTTACTTTTTAACACAAAGGATTTTTTAATCAAATAAAATCTAAATATTTTGCAAATGTTTTTTAAGTGATGTAGTGATAAAATTATTACATAAATTTTAATGCATGTTTTATATTTAATTTGATCATTAAAAGTTTTCTGTAACAGAAAAAGTTTCGTTTTTGTGTTAGTTTTATGGTTCGATTTGCTCTAGGACTTCAATTAACCTGAACTAAGTTGAACAGTTTCAGAACCTGTTGTAATTTTTTCCTATTGAGTTAATTGTATAATTATATAATTTTTCTCAGATTTTAATTAATTTTTAATTTTTAAAGCTAAAATCCTGTTTGTTATAATGTTTTCTATGTTTTGTTTAAACATTCGATAAGTTTTGCATTTCCGGTTGCTATTCTAATATGAATAATAATATTTTGATTACTAAAATATAGTGCTGCAATGTGAAAGAAAATTGTGCTATATTTTATGTGTTTGGTATATTAAACAAAGGAAATTTTTTTTATTTAAACTTCGTAATTCCCTACAGAAAAATTAAATGGCTTTGTCCACCAAGAGGCTAAAGTCTGTACATTATATTAATTTGAAATTAAATTTTTTGAACATAAGTATAAATCATACATAAACAGAAAAAATTCTTTAAGTTCAAAATTCAATGCACAGATTGTTACATACAAGTAAGGAAAATAAATTCCAAAGAATTTAAAATGTATGCATGAAGATATTAAATTTGTAATTAAAAGATTTATGTACTAGGGAAATTTGATATGATAAATGATGTTAAAATTAATATACAAATTTAAAAAAAATGTTATGAATATCAAAATATTATGCTAGAAAATTTAAATTTTGGTTATACTGGAGTTTGAAAAAGTATTTCGCTTCTAGATATGGAAATGAAAATAAATATCGTCAATTAAATCTTAACAAAACTAACTTTAAATTTTGGTAATAGTGTATTAACCGTAATTCCTATATCAAATTATTTAATCTTGGAGCAAACAAAGATAATGTTTTCAGTCAATTGTTTTTGTGTGTATAGTTGAAAGTTCGAAAACTGCAGTAGGTCAATCTGAAAAAATTTCTTTTTCATTTTATCAACAAAATGATTTATTTTTCAAAAGATATGAAATGACTGGAAAAAGAAATTTTGGTGGATTATTAGTAAATTCAGGTTTCGTAAGCACCAAAAATATCGGGAGAAAAACTTAATTTTATCCCAAAACTGGAAATTGTCAGGAAATTTGATACGCTATTAAATTGCGGCATTTCACTTTTCGGTTTTCAATACCGTAATCTGCGTTTGCACACAGGATTAAAAAAAGAATTAAAAAAAATCAGGATTTTTTTTTTCCCCGATTGACCGATATTAGGTGTAAAGTCAAGATTCATTTGTTCCAGTTAATGAACTTGAAATTTCAGCCTTAAAAGTGTCTATTTTTTTTGCTTCTTTTGAAAATCTACTCTTGGTTCTCAATTTTCGTTATCGTTGATATACTCTGACAGATTATTATTTTATAATTTCGGATAATATATTAATTCGGATAATACATTAATTGTCTGATGTGGAATCACACCTGCTCTAGTTAAAAATCGTCTGCTTTTATAAAGAAATAAAAGCTGAATGCTGTTTATTAATATAAACATATAATTAGTTATCGCTAAAAGCAGACGATTATTTTAAGAAGCAGCTTACAACTTTCTCTTTTCGCAATAAAATTTTTTTTCTTCTTCCCTTTACCATAAACTTCATACTCAATAAATTAGTTTTTTCTATTCCGGAATTTTAAGGTAAAGGTTTTTTAATTCCGTTGATATATTTATATCCTGCCTTGTCCCAGGTTTTAATATTTATGTTAGTGCTTCTTTTAAATATCGTTTCCGTTCGGTAATCTTCAATGGTTGTTCTTATTTAATCAAATTAATAAGTTTCCTTTGTATTAAATAGTTTTCTTTTTTTCCTTGTAATTAGGTATAAAATATATTGCGAATTTTAATAATTTTGTTTTATATTAGTTAATTTCGGTCGTATTTAGTTTGTATAATTTGGCTAAACTTCAATTAAATGAACAATTTTAATTGACTTACTTATATAATTTTTAGCTTCTTTTTGTGTTTTGGTATTTATCAATAATGTAAGTTTTTATTAATATCACGGTTTTACCATTTTTATTTATATTTTCTATCTATTTTTCCCTCTTATTTATGATTCTGTTATAAGTTTAATAAGTTTTAGAAGTTATAAGTTTGGTAAGTTAAAAAATTCAATATTATTGATAGAGAATTCTTTCAGTATTGGAATATTTAAACTGTCTGAATCATTAGAATTTTCATTCGAAAATTTTTTTAAGGTATCATAAACTTCATACTAAAAACCAGTTTCCTCGGTACGTATTCCGCGATGCATAAAGTATTGTCATTCTCGGGACCTATTTAAAATGCATTAAACGAAAACATTTAACAACTTAGAAAATAGCTTCTACTGCTTTTCGTGCATTTAGTTTTATCTGGCATTTGAGAGCCGACCCGCATATAGGTTTAAATTAAGCTTCGTAGCCTTGTATTTTGAAACCAATCTAGAAAAATAGCAACTACTGGATCAAACATTGAGACTAACTGGCTTTTTTTATAGGTTTTATTAAAAATAATTTTTAAAATTATTTATGGAACTTACTCTCATTTCGGTTCTATGGAGAAAAAAACCGTGAAATCCTAGTGTGGTGTTACAAGTGGATTTTTACCTATTATTCATTTATCACAGAGATTGGTCATGCTGGGTGCAGAATTCGGATCTGCCGGCCATCGCGGCTCCTGACACATATATTATTGCGAAAGGACTACAGTATTATATAACGTATTATATTATTAAAATAAATATTACATAACTAAACTACATTTGATTTTATCTCGCCAAACACTTTTATTTCACATATTTTGAGCAAAGACTGAAGTATTTTTTTTCTTCTCATACTGCATTTAAATGATTTTTTGTGGATATAAGCGCGTTATGCATAAGTATTCAAACGCATAATTCATAATAAAATTTTGCCTATTTTTGTATTTTTAATATTTGTCTTTTAATATTTGTCACTTGTAAGGCAATCCAGAGATTTCATTTCCAAATTTTTTACTATTGTGAGCTTCTTAACTGCTTTTTTTTCCGCTTCTAAGCTATTTTCCTATATTGAACAGTTGTTGAAGTTTAAGCTTTAATATTTACGATTTGAATCAGATGAAATTTGAACTTAAAAATGAAAATATTATAAAAATAAAAGCATTTGAAACCTTTCCGGAAAATTCTAGTTGGTTTATCGAGTTCTGACGATGGACGCATTTTATTTGTTGAAGTTAGTAAGATAACTAACGTTATAGCAATGTTTCGGGAGAAGCATTGCACTCTAAAAGCAGTCTGGCACGCGTTTTTTAAACAAGGTATGCATTTAACTTAATGTAGAGATAGGGAAAAAATTATAGAACGATCTGAAAAGTTCTAATAATATGTAGAAAAAAACGTAGTGTCAACTTTAAAGAAGCTAAGGAGCATCTAGTTTAAAGCATTGTAGATGTTTTTATTTTTTCAATGCTCAAACTAACTTTACCCTTAGGAAAAGGATTATGTATGATAGATCAACCAAAAACAGAAATTGAGGGAACGAAAACAGAACTTTTTGTTGTGCTGCGATCTATATTATCAATATATAATGAAACGTTTTGGAGGAGAGACTTTAATTTTTTCGTGCTGCCATCTAGTATAATTTATATGAAATATTTAGGTATCCTGTCAACAATCTTAACTTAATTGGTAAACAAATTACGTAAATAATGTTATTATTGGTTGTGAAATTAGTTGCATTTATTGTGGTCATCGAGTCAACGACTCTGCAAAAAGTAACACATATTTTTGGCCTTATGCACGAGCAAATAAAATGAACTTTGTGAAAAATTTTGAAAAAAGTTCGAGAATTGTTTTTACTTGAAAAATAAAAACTGTAAAAGGTGAAATTAGGTAAAATCAAAGTTCGCTGCTAGGTTATTCTTAGACATGTGATAAATCTTCCAAGTGCAAGTGTAATAAGTTTTAAAAGTGTTAATCTACAAAAAAATTTTAATTTTAGCAGAAAATCTCAGTTCTTAATGTAAAACACTTTATGCTCCATATTTTTTACAACACGGATTTTGTAATTAAATTTCGAAGGTTAAAGTTTTGAGATTACGTTGCTATGAAAAAGAAATACCAATCATTTTTTCGGAATGACCGTATACATTTTTATTGATCATTCAGAAATAATTTTACTCAATTTTTAAATGGTTACTTTAGAAACTGATTTATTAATTGAGTAAAATAAAAAAAAAAGTTGTGCTCAACTTTACGTCTGATAATTTTAGTGCTGCCATCTAGTCTACTATTTATGAAATAGTAATTCATGCTGCTGCCATCTAGTGCTATTAAGTTTAAAGTGTGTGAAGATAATATTTTTCGCACTATAATCAGATATACTTAGTGCTTCCATCTACTGGCTAAAGACGACAAATAAATGTACTAAAGTTTATACACAATGCGATATTTTTCATTTTATTAATTATGTTTCCGGAAACTAGAAATGTAAGAAATGCCGGCATCGTTTACAATCTCAGTCATTTTTATGCAAAGTACGAAATCGGAGATTTATTGCATACGTTTCTCTTGGCATTATATACAATGAATATGACAAATGCTCTTCAAGCAAGTTATGATAGCATGATTTGACCAAACATAAGAGATAAAAAATGGAAATGCTATCTTTTTTTTATTTTCAAAAAAGGCAAAAAATGATACTGAATAGAAAAATTATATCCTTAATTTTATGAATCAGTTTTTTTTAAGCTTAAATTTTATTTTTATCTGCTAATTTGGCTGTTTTTAATATCTGATTAGGAAAGACATCAGCATAGGGGGAATACCTAGCACTGACAGTTAAAACTGAGTTAAATAAATAATAAATAAATAAATT